TCTGGCAATCCACTAGAGACCGGAGAACGAAACTCTTCATTATTCGCATAAAAACGAGGCTGTAATCTTCATACTTAATATCAGCGATGCTGCTTTTAGTAGCAATTTCACTCCGAGAAATTTATAAATCGCTAACCAATGCCTTTTGCGTGGTGGGAAGACAGAAACTCGGCGTCTGTTCACTAGAAAAACTCCCATTCTGTGAGCGCAGGTCGACATGAAAGCAGTGTGTGAGAAAAGGATTGTGGCAAAGCTGGGCGTATCTGGCCTCTCACGCTGTGCTGTGGGGGCACCTGTTCGAAATGCTAAATGTGTTAGCTGATGATTGGTGCGGTTCTGCCAATATTTTTCTATGAGAATAGAGTGCGTGGGTGTGGGTGGGGGTGGATGGGTGAATGGGAGTGCTCGGCTTGTGTACCATGGGTCAGACAAAATAAGACCGTTAGACAGTTAAAGATTAGACGTGACGCTGAGGGATGGAAATCGTGGCCTGAGTATAACTAATAAAGCAGAATGTACCCAGGAGATAAGATTAGGCTGTAGCCCTAAGCTGCGCTTCCGAGGGATGCTATTGAGCCTGAGGCTTTTGGAGATCTTTAGTCAGCTGATAAAACTCTGTGTGTCTCAAAAGCAGCTTCTTCACTATCAGCTGCTCCTTATAGCCTGTAAACATCGACAACAGATGACGTGAGATGTGTTATTGCACCGAAAATACGCTGATTAGAATTTTATGCACCGTGTCATCATTTTCAAGCTATTTTGTGTCGGTAGCTCACATCAGAGTGGTCATTAGGAGCAGGTGGCTGTCCCATCCAGGCACTTGCCAATATATAATTGACCAAAGGCCCCCCTCAGCAGGGCCTTATTGATTTGGCACACGGGAAAGTTGTCCTACTCATCGCAGCACAAACTCATCTACTCGTTTTTCACGTATATGTTTAAAGGAATGCAGAGATGCTCCTAATACATATGCTAACTTAATCTTTGCCGGATTGAATTCATTCAGTGTAGACAGATCCTTTTGCTCCATGCCAATGTAGCCTCTACTCGACAAGCCCTTAAAGACCCATATAAAGATCCCCCTTCTCTTAAAGTAATAAGATGGGTGATGAGAGTTGTCCACATATAGCCAATGGCTCATAGCTGCCAAGTTGTAGAGCAGACAAGTAGTAGAGGTTCCTTGATCCTTACCATCCCCCCTGCCTCATCAACCCTGGGCCCCGCCCTGACAAATGCTCCTGCTGTGCTTATTTTGCTCATGATTGAGATGTCATTTTTACTTTCTGTTCAACTCATGGCATGGCAGTAGATTGACCGGTGCATAATATCAAAGACTATAAATGTCACAATCTGGTAGTAGGAACTCAAGTGCAGAGCAGTTAGACGTCTCCAAAAACAGTTTATTTACAGCACTAGTGCACGATATATACAGTGAAGGGAAATCCAAACTCCAGGGAATCACGGGGAAGCTCTCTCACACTCGCTCACGTCTTCTTGCCCAAACTTACACACGTTCACACGGCAGGGAGGTCACAGGTCCGGGGAGGAAAGTCTCTGTAGCAGAAGAGAGGGAAGTCACTCACAACGCACAGGTTCACAGGAGCTGGGAGAATCACTAACGTCTGTAGTACAATCATCCAGCGACGAGAGGATCTGTGTTCCAGCCTCAAATAGTGATGACAGCTGATTGTTGTCAGGTGTGTGGGCCAAGGGCGGGAGCCCACAGTGAGCTCCGCCCAGGCAGAGAGGGAGAGAGAGAGAGAGAAAACCAAACAACACATGTAGCCGGGCAGGAGACCATGACAATAAATATATGACTTTTCTTAATAAAAGCAATTAAATCTGACTACAGATTAAATTACCATTTAATAATTTGATGAAAACAAACTCATTCTGAGATTATTGTCAGCAGTGCCATTTGGAATTGGTTACTAAGTAGGATCTGTTGATAGCAGCAGATTATTGCTCAGCAGAAACCCTGTTGCAGTCATTGGGCCATCTGTCCCACCCCGGCCAATGTCACTGGGATGATACTCCACTGGTGATGCAAAATGCATGAATCCCTGCCCTCTGCATTTCCTTTGGTGTGAGACAAATCTAGTGTACGCTTTTGTTTAAAGAGAAATGACTCAAAATATGCACCTAATGGGCTTAAAAGCCTGCATCAGAAGAAAAAAAAAGCTAATGCTTGCACTATAAGTGTACACTGCAAGTACCGCAACTGAATCGAAACAGGCCTTTTTTTTAAAGCATGCTGTCATTGTGTCTTATGTAAGTGATGAGTATGCGTATTCAGTCTTCATCACAGCGTTTCTTGAAGTTTCACATTGCATTGTGTTAATTGGCTACTCCCACCAGCTGGAAGTAATGCTAATACACTGAGGAAAAGCCACCATGCTAGCTTCCTGGAGCGCTTAAGTGTGCCAGGGCATCGTGCATGCATCCCGTAGCTGGAAGTGAGCTCTTTGATGTGATTGCTTCTGAGAAACGTCATCTTTTATTGATGCTTCCATTAAAGTAACATAGACGTCTGTGTAGACTTGGTGGGGAGGGAAAGGGGGCACGCTGGTGGAACAGGAGTTTACCAGCTAACTACACACAGAAAATACCCTCCCATCCACACCAGCACCCGTATTACTTATTTTTCCTCTAGTCTGCAGCTTAATACGGCTATTCCAATACTACACCTAGGAGTAAGTAACTTGACCTGATTTTTAAGTTAGCCTGCACCAGTGAGAGAAATCATTATCCCCTTTGGCAAATGATGACAGATGATGAATAATGTTGATCTTTTTTAGCAAGAGCACTTGTTATTTTCTAAGATATATTAGCAGCAGTTAAGTTATAGTAAACATTAGGGTTGAGCAGTTTTCTCCATAGTCTAATTATCTTATGCCAATAACCAATACCATAGCTGCCATGCAGCCATTAAGATTGAGGAATCTGCTGTACATTGTGCATAGTATGTGGTCCAGACATACAGCTGCACTGTAACTGCTGGCCAGAGAGGCAAAGACAGAGAAGAGGTTATGCCCCATTTCCAGCATAAAGAGAAAGAACCAGCTGGAGAGAGACGTTCACACACAGCCATAAATGATTTACACTTAAGTTTGCTTTAGGATTATAGTTCTTTTTATCATAGCTCTGCTAACTTGATCAGTATGTTTGATGCATAAAGGTGGCTCACCTATCTCTTCCTGCTCTGGCTGTGCTCACCTCACACACAGCAGGGTCTTTTACCAGAAACTCACACAACACCTGGTGACATAAATAAGGTTAAAGACACGAGATAAACTAGCATCTCTGCAAACACACGGCTACATTAAGCTCCAATTTTAGAAATAGAAATGTTCCTCTTCTGTTTTCGCTTATTTTGAGATGAGAGTGGTTCACAACGGTAATTTGAAAGAGAGCAAATGTGGGAACGTGAACTTGTGTGTTCACACAGGAAAACAAGTCAAAAGGGGAAAAAAAAGAGCACCTTGATTGGCAAGCTGTTGTCACGCACTCTGACTGTTGTTTATCATCATCCACTGATACAGCCTTAGTGTTGTAGGTGGGTGTAAAGGCCAGAACAACAAGGGCCAAATCATTATGGTAGATGACTAGGTTAGAGCAACTCCAAAATGACAGGGCTTGTGGCGCGCCTTTGACTAGAAGCGGTGAATAGCTGTCGAAGACAGTTTAAAAAATGGATGTAGCTACCGTGACATTACCCACTGTTTTCTGAAGTCCCATTTTGAAGACTTGATGAGATGAGTGTTTCTGACAAAACACAGGATGTGCGGGATCAACTTTGATGTAATTCACAGCTCTTTGAAGATGCTGGAGCTAAAAAATGTTTGTATCAGATACCACCGAGCATTCTCAGGTCTCTTTGTGTTTATGTGGGTCAATTATCCTACAATACAAAGGACAAACAGCATATTAGACAGAGGTGGTCATCACTGTCCAGCTGGTACAGTATTTGGCAGCAAAGGGTTGTTGCAGGTGGACAACTTCAGAAGTTTTGCTTGAGGTGAGATTTACAGCAGCTGGCCTTTATTAGGAAGTCATGAGTTTACAATAAACTATATATATGAAAAATTCTTGGACCAAAAACAGTACTCAAGCTGTTTTCCAAATGAATACATTAAATGTCAAAGGTTTTATTTGGGAAGTATTTGACTTGCAGCTTAATAAAGCTTTTAAGCTTGGCACTTTTTTGTTGTTCTTTAGCATTTTGCTCTTACTTTAAGAAATAAACTGTAATTTGTGCCAGTAAGTATGCTCTGAATGTTTAGTGCTGATTTTTATTTCATGAATTTAAATTTATCAGGCTTGTCTTATGTCACTACATGAAATATTTATAAAATCCCAGCAGAATGTTGTCTAGTTTTCCACAATACAGCAGATTCACTAGAGCACATTTTACTCATAACTTTCACATCGACTAATTTGTTATTCTTACTAAATTGTTAATATTATATATCAATAGTGGCAATAGAGTTAACAACAAAAGGAAAAGTTGTGTCGATTCACTGCTTCAACCAGAACTTCTGTTTTTCATACATCGTTAAAGGAGCTGAAAAAGAATAGATAACTCATTTAATTTTTATTTATATAGAACCAAAGCACAACAGCAACTCCCTTTTTAATGAAAAGATTCCTCATGTTTCTTCCATCTGTGGTGACTGGTTTGGGAGAGAAGGGAAGAGGGAGACATAACAGGAAACAAAGTATGGAAGAAAGCCAGTAATTAATAATAATTAATGATTAAATGCAAAGTACGTAAGTAAGTAAGCACAAAGAGTGAAACGCAGTGAGTGAAAAAGAAAAACTTATGGGAAACCCCATAAAGACTCAGGGTCTCTTGATCCAGCTCTAGCTAAAGACACATTGTTAGTTCTGGAGTTTATTTTCCCAGCGGGGATGCTTTGGTCAGATGAATAGACAGTCTTTCTGAGGACGTACTTATTGATGGTATTAATAATTTCTTCTAATCCCTGTCTTTAATCCAGGGTCCTCCAGGGAAGTAAAAGCTCCCGTGGAGGTCTCAGAGCAAATGGTCCAGAAGCTAAGAGGCAAGAATGAGTTTACTGTGTTGGTGACCCTCAAACAGGATCACCTGAACTCTGGGGTGATCCTCTCCATCCATCATTCTGAACACAGGTAAGATCACTTCTCGTTTCACCACGTGTGTAAAACGGCTTTTGTCGTACACAGGTAAAGTGGAGCATTAGCTAATTTTGGATTTATTTGCAGATACATGAATGGAATACACTAAATAAAATACATTTTAAGAAAGTTCAGTGATGCATGTGTATCACTGGGAAACTAAAGTATAGCTCATTTAGTATAGTGAAGCCTGTCAGAATAAATCTCCCTGCTCAATGATTGCAGTTTCGCTCTAAATTTAGTAACTCTCTGTTCTGTCATATGAGCAGACTGGATATTTGTATTTGATAAGCATTTAGATGTTTTACACACTAGTCAAATAAACAAAGAAAATCACCCTGTATGCCAGAGTATTATTCACAGTCCATCAACGATGCAAGCGTCGAGTCTGTAATTGTGAATCGAAAACTGATGAGACACTATCTGCAGTTAGCATGCTAATGTTTTCCATTACTTTGTGGTAGCTGAGCCGTTGGATGATCAGAACAGCAATCTAAATTCCACATAATGCGTTGATTGAACAGTCTGTACATTAAAGTTGGTCCTGAGAAGAGAGCTCACAGGGATGTTAATGACTTTCTCCCACTGATGATTAGCCTTCCCAGCCATTCATATGCAACAAAGCAGCACTGCATGGTTTCATTTAAAACATGGCAGAAATAATTCAGCATCCAAAGTGTTAGCTAGTGCGTTTATGGAGTCAAGATGAATGTGCATGCATGGCTAGGGGAGAGTAAATCTATTAGATGTGGTTTGCAGATAAATCAATTCCATTGCTACACTGTCTATTTTTCTTTTGAATAATGTTTCTTGAAAATGACTCTTGTTCAAATAAGTCTGTCTTTAAAACGCTGAGGTGATGAGTGTGTATCGGCAGCTCTTTCCATTAGTGTCACTGTGCTGGGTGAATCTCGGTGGTGTGGAGAAGAGGATTCTCCTGGAATACTAATGCTCTAACGTAAAGAGTTGAATCGCTGCATGCGGGCCATTGCTGTGTGCTGCTGATGTTGCATTAGACAGCAATACAGCACCCCTATGTTTAGCCTTTAATGTGATCAAATTCTTAATAGAGGAGTTTAGACAGTTTTGCATTTCTTTGTGTGACAAATACATTTTTTTAAGCAACACGACTTTGCAACACTGTAAGACGCAGGAAGGTGTCACAGAACTTACCATGGTTTTTACTTAAGTTGCTGGAACTATTGTGTTGCAGGTTCCTGGAGCTCGAGAGCAGCGGCCAACGGAGTGAAGTACGCCTTCATTATCGCACCAAAGGGCAGCAGGATCACACGGAGGTGTTCCCTTACAGCCTGGCTGACGACCAGTGGCACAAGGTCTCTGTCGCCGTCAGCGCATCTCACGTCATACTACATGTGGACTGTAACAGGTAAGATCCTGGATTGAGAGTCTTCGCTTTTAAAAGGAAAAATACAGATTTAAATGTCGCTTGTGTATCAGCTTCAAACTTTGCATGTACTAATCTCATGCAACATACCGCGCAAGGACCTTCATTATCTGAATGACCTGATCTGCCATAATATAATTAATTCACATAAAATCTGTTTTCTGAGTTTCTGCAATGAGTTGCATTTGTAAGCCTCCGACTCACACGGCAATAGATACTGCTATGTTAAATCATGTAAAAATTATTGCAATGACTCCAGGCTTAGAGAGATACCGATTTTAAATTTGGGGAAAAAAGAGATTTCTCATACTGAATTAGCATGTGGTGCTTTAATTTAAATAGGACTTTAAATTACTTTAAACTAAGTGATCAAATCTATTCTGGATCATCTTTCAGGGTTTTTTTGTCTGTGTCTTTGCATGGAAAAATACAATGTGTAATATCTCTCCAAAAGCAGAAACTCACTGAAAGACAATAGTGAAACCAAAACCTGTTAGGTAACAATCCGGCGCTTTAAACTACGGTTTGTGTTGTTAGGCCATGACATGCTGCGTTGTGTATGGACCGTGTTCACTTGCTGACTCTGGCATGCACGTATCGACATCGGCCATATGTCTCATGGGTCCGGCGCAGGTTGAACTCACCTTGAGGAAACCGGCGTTTTTACATGCCTCTGCTGCTCACTATGACATGGGAGTCACTGTTTGCGTGTGATGATCCTTCTTGGCACGATAAGAGAACAGACGGCAACGCCATGTGCATCCAAGAAAGCATGTGGCTATCTATACCCTGCATAGGGAAAGAGTTAACAGAAGGATTTAAAAGGGCAGGACCTGCAGTGTGGGTGGGGGGTGGGGGGGCATCTTTTCATCACATGAGCCAAACAGGTAGCATAACTGACTTTTTTGTGATTTTAGCTGTTGACCAATTTATGATCATGTTTTTTCAGGATCTATGAGCGGGTGGTGGAACCTCCCTACATGGACATACCCGAGGATACTTCCTTTTGGCTCGGACAAAGAAACGCTGCTCATGGCTTCTTCAAGGTTAATGCTGCAATAAAAACCTCTTTTCCAGAATATATGCATGCTGATGCCTCTCCTGATCTGTCATTACTAAGCCATAAATGATTCAGAATAGCACAAACAAGTAATTCATTTCAGCTGCGGCACCATCTTTTCACCCCGTACTCAGTCTTGGTTTATACTGTATCCTTTCCCTCTTTGTTTGGCTTGTTTGTTTTTATTTATTATAGCTGTTGGATTTAATTGCATGCATTTCTCAAGGCTTACCATTTTAATTTGAGGGCTGCTCTGCCTACCCTAGGAATTGACATTTTTTTGTCACTGTTTGTTCCCTGTGCCTTAGTCTGCAGCTAAGCCCAGTGCAATTATCTCAGCAACCCCCACCATGCTTATTTGGGAGAAATCATTAAATAGCCTCTGGACTATGCTCATTAAGCTTAGTCTATAGTATTGTTTTTCAGACAGAGAGACTTATATCGCCTCTTTCAGACTAGACCGCACTCCCAAATTTCCCACCTGGGGAGACTTGCTGGGGCAAAATGTCAGCTTACTAGCAATTTTAACTACTTTAATCAATCTGCTGGTGACTAGGTCTGTGTTTGATGGTGCGGTGATGGCTGTGTGTATGTGTACCTGTTAATGCTTTATACACTATGTCCTGGCATTTGAATTTCCTCTGTGTTAATTGGTTGATGAAAGAAGCTCTGGAGGTCACCCACTAATCTTGTCACACAGCAGCATCTTTCCTCGCCACTCTGTGAATCCTTGATTAGTTGCTGGGAAGACATCTCCTTTTTTTCTTTTTCTTTCGTCTTTTTTAAACACTACTTCATTAGGACACATGCACGCCCACACACATAGAGAAATGGTCAATATCTGTGTGTGTTAGCTAAAAATGAAAAAAATCATCATTAAGACTTTAGACAGAGCACATGCACTGTTGCTTCTTTACTCAAGAAGTTTGTTTGTTTGTTTTTTTACATTCAGACACTATAGATAACTAAATGTCTTATCTAGTAACTGAAGTTATTCAGTAGTTCACTTTTTTCTTGGCCTGGTAGGGTATCTAATTTTTGCAGATCAAAAACTGGATTAATTTTTTCTATGTGTTAATATTAAGTATTTTCTCACTGCCCGTTAAAAAAAATCCCTCTTTACTTTCTAAAATATTGTTGGGCACAGTTATTAAATAATAGCTCCCTTCTTTCACACAAACACAACAATATTTAACCACTAAAAATTTCCTATTCAGGGATGCAAGCAAATAACTGTAATTTGGCATCTTAGTTTAAACAAAACAATAATGTGCAAGTAATATGCAATACACATTATAACACAGTTTCTGTTTATAGTTTGTAGCAGTTGTATTTTGCAGAATTTATACTGTGCCGGTAAGTAAATAGTGTTATTTCAAATTTGAACGACACAGCTCCTATCTTCTGCCATTTCTGCACGTTACCGTGAAAAATCAGCAAATAATTTCCCCAGGATGTTAAATTTATGGTTGGCAAATTGAAGTGGCGAGACAATTTAAAAAAACAATTTCTCCTAAGTTGCACTGTTCCACTTCTGTAAAGGTAATAAATGCACCCATGGAGTGAAATGGACCTGGTTACTATGGCAACAGAGTGTCTGAACACAGGTATGTGTTTGGGATTCGGACGTAGGACAATTTGGACTTGTGAAATGATTGAATCTCTATCTCCTGTTTATGCTTATCAGAGGAGATTGGGGAAAAAAAATCCACGTTCCAGCTAAATTGGCCACATAATTAACCTCCTGTAGGTTTGCAGATATGAGATGATTGATCACAGCGACAGTCTGGGACACATATTATCCAACAATCACCCAACAACCTGTCTGTCATACTTCACAGTGAAAAACACAATTCTACCTGTTTATTTTTGTGAGGATACATATGCTTGGGTCCCACATTATCTCAAACATTAATTAGTTAGACAACTTAGAGAAATATTACCACCCTACCCACACTCCCAACTCTCAAAGTCCTCATGTATTTACTACACCTGCTTGATGTTTCTTCTATATTTTTCTTCTTTTTAGCATGAGGTGTTACTCCCTATGATCAAAAGGTTGTTATGTCTGTGTATGTAGGGAGTGATGCAGGACGTGGAGATCCTGGTGATGCCACAGGGTTACATCTCACAGTGTCCAGACCTTAACAGAAGTGAGTGCAGTAATCCCATTACTGTTGATTCTGAATAACCCTCCAACTTAGTTTACACCGATTTTAACTTATTTACCTGCAACCCCACTTTTAGATTACAGTATAGATAAAATGTACATTTTGTATTTATTTGATATTATTATTTATTATTAGTAGTATTTTTAAATCCTGAGTAGCGCTAAGGCGTTTAACAGTTGTGGGGTGTTTTGCAGTTAGTCAATCAGCAAAAAGTGGGTTTTCTTGTGTGATCGTTATCCTCATTGTTGCTACGATTTTGATGATGGTTCAGTTTTATTCAGTTTTGAGAGGACAAAGAAACCAGCTGTTTATATCAGTGCAAAAAGCTGTGAAATTTTATCTGAGAAAATATGCTAGATGAAATAAACTGTATCAGGCATTTTTCAGAAATCGGTTTCACATTACTTTTAAGTGGCAATCTGTGAGACTGTTTGATTTAGAAATGTTCTGATGCAATGTTTTTTCCCCCATTCAATCACTGGTTGTACAGTGAAATGTTTTATTGTGCGCTATGATGATGTGTTTTCACTAGGAACCTTTTTTATATTCCAGGTGGCTGTTTTACCTATCTCATTGTTAGAGTTTCTGCAGACAAAAACTATTTTTGCAGAGAGTGAAAACCACACACCCACACCTCATGCTTTAAAATGATTTTTCACATGGATTATATGTTCCTGTCCCTCAAAAAGTTTGCTTAATGCGTTTTCCAGTAAATTACACCCTTTTACAGAGAGGACATTTTTTTGTAATATAAAATAACAAGTGAAATTTCCTCCTTCAAAGAAAAACACATTAGCAAGTATTATTAATGTTATTATTATTTATTAACTATTACTGTTAAACTACTGAACTGTTTCTACTATTAAACGTGTTTAAAAACTGTTATATGGTTAGACAGGTTTTTATCTGCTATAGTTATGATGCAGTTAACATCGATTTTTAGAAATGATGACCACGTTATTGCACGTACCTAAGTTACTTTTGTATTGTTCCTTGTATGTCAGCATGTCCAACCTGCAATGATTTCCATGGACTAGTGCAGAAAATCATGGAGCTACAGGATATACTTGCAAAAACATCCAGCAAGGTAATGTAATGTGTATGTTATTTGTGCTGATTTGACATTTAATCCAAAACAGAGAGAGGAACAGTAATTGCTCCTTTGAATTAAATGAGTAAAATATATCCCCTTGTCAGTACGGTTCTGTTATTAACATTCACTGCAACAGGCATTCAGAGCCGTATTAACATTTGGCTCTGCCTATTAATGAACTCTTTTCTCTTCTGACGGAGAGACTGAGAGTGTATGAGGTGTTAATAGTATGAGTTTTGTGATGCTACTGGTTTGCTTTTGAAGCTCCTTTTTTCATGTGAATATAGACATAGAATGAGGCTGACTCATGTCTTCTTTTCTACTTGGTTTTTGTCTTTCGGGTGTGTTGGGGGGGGG